CAGACCCCCCCCTGCCCCTGGCTCCCTCCCGCTCCATTTCACACCTCATTGCCAAGGTGGCCAAGCCCTAAACGCTTCCACTGAGCTCTGTGTTTTAATTGTGTTTGCTCTCATTAGAGCCCTGGGCCACCGGCAGCACACGCGCTACTGGAAAGTAAATCCCCACCCTGTTAATTTTGCTTATGTCCCCAGGTCGCCCCAATTTAGCCATGGCAGTGGCAGCCCGGAAAGGGAGAGGGACGGGGCCCCCGCTCCCCCACACCCCCCCATCACCACCACGGCTCAGCCGGGCTTCCTGGGCGGCTGGCTTGGCCGGATCCCACGTGAGTATGGTGGTGCTTGCCCTGCTCTCTCAGATGATGTTATCCAGTGAGGCTCTTGGACTCTGAGGCTCTGTATCCACTTCTCCCTCACTCCAAATCCCTTTTTCCAGCGGGGTCCATCAGGGTGAGGATGCTGCAGAGTGGTACCGCGCTGCTCCAGGAGCGCAGGGCATCCTTGCTGCCCAGTTGGGGAATTGTCTCCAGCCACAGCCTCCCTGCGTGGGGCTTGTCCAGGTTTATAGGGGCAATTTTGAAAGTACAACTCCTTAAAGCTGAAGCAGCAGGAAGGGGTTTAAATGTATTCTATATTCTTTTGCTTGGTTTTAACTCTTCTGTTCATCTCCACTCCTGGAATGTTGCACCAGTACCCAAATGGGCACTCATCGCTATTGCTGTGGCAGTGGCTGTCCTCCTCCTCCTCTTCCTCATCTGCATCATCAGGTGCTGCTGTGGCAAGAAGAAACCCAAGAAGAAGGAGAGAGTCAGCTTGCACGCTATCAGCAGCTCCACCACGGCCAGCCTCGTGCGTCCTGCTTTCCCCTCTCCCCCACCTGCCTCCTCCCTGAGAGGTCTGCTGCCGTGCTGCCTGGTCCTGGGCATGGTGGGAGCACGGTAGCACATCCCGAGGGTACTCTCTGCCGCAGGTCCAGCCTGAGATGGACGACCTGGAGCAGGGCACGGAGCAGACGGGGCGAGGAAAGCTGCAGTACTCCCTGGAGTACAACTTCCGCGCGCAGGAGGTGGGGATGCTCATGGCTGCGGTGCAGTGGGGAAAAGGCTTTAGTCTTGATGGTCCTTCTTTGCTGCCTGCTGGGGTGGATCATACCCTCTTGCACCTCTCGCCCTGCCCACAGCCTGCCGGCTTTCACGCCTGCGTGGCGTGGAGATGTCCTCCCTGCTGCACTCGCTTGCTTCCCACTGAGCCCCTGGTTGCCTGGCCCAATCCTCCTCCACCTAGTGACCTTGTGCATCACTCCTCTTAAGCTGAAAGTTGGTGTGAAGCAGGCAGCTGAGCTGAAGGCCATGGACAGCGGAGGCACATCCGATCCATACGTGATCGTCTACCTAACGTCCGATATGAAGAAGAGGTATGAGACCAAGGTTTACCGCAAGACCTTGAACCCTGTCTTCAATGAGAACTTCACTTTCCAGGTAGGAAACTATAGGTGATGATGGATTTTTGGTCTCATTAAGAGCATTCTATGGGCACTGCTCCCTAGGCAAAAACCTCTCCAGGCAGGGAGATGCCTTTGCAGCCAGGATGGGGAAGCATCAGAAAGAAAGACCTGGTATTGCATCTGCCGCCCCATCCCATGGGGCAGGGCTGCCACCAAGGAGTGAGTCTAGGCTTTCGGGTCTTCCCCTGCAGGTACCCCAGGCGGAGATGCCTGAATCCACTCTGGTGATGCAAATCTATGACTTCAACCGCTTTACCAAGCACGACATCATCGGTGAGGTCCGGCTGCCCCTGGCCAGTGTCAGCCTGCAGCACGTCATTGAGCAGTGGAGTGACCTGGTGGCAGCCAGTAAAGTGGAGGTTGGTCCTGGTGGGTGGAAAACTCTGCCAGAAGGGATGTGCTGTTGCTTCGCTTGCCACCACCCCAAGAAGCAGGACCTTAGGGGCAAGCGTGAGGGTGGGGGAGACCCAGGAAACCTGGGGCCAACCTGATGTTCCAGCCCCAGGTGATCCAACTCCTCTGCCTGGTGCTTACCGCTGGCATCTCTCCGTCAGGAAGAGCAGCTGGGTGAGATCTGCTTCTCGCTGCGCTACGTCCCCAGCACCGGCAAGCTGACGGTGCTCATCCTGGAAGCTAAGAAGCTGAAGCGGATGGATTCCCACGGGCTCTCAGGTCAGCAGGGGCTGCTCATGCTCAAATCTCCCTACTCCTGCCCAGGCCTTAACAACAGCACCAAGAGCTGCAAAGCCTTGAAAGCTCTCGGTGCCAGGACCTGCATCCTGCTACCACCACCATACCCAGCCCTTGGCCAGCTCCCAGCCTTCCCCAGCACGGATACCTCCAGCTCTGCCCAAAGCTGGAGGCATCTCCCAGGAGGAGATGTCGTGGCTGGACGGTGAGGTGAGCTTGTGGCAGGAGGAGGTGAGCTCTGGGGTGACTGGCAAGGGCAAGAGGGGTGGATGCTCACCACAAGGAGTGACAAGTGGGATGCCGTGCTCTGCTTGGGAATGGCCCAGGGAAGCTGTTTTGTGGCTGAGCTCCTCAGTCAAAAATTGTCACTTGTGCCAGCTGTGTCCTCTCTCTCCTCAGATCCTTTTGTCAAGGTGCATCTCATCCTGAACAGGAAGAAATGGAAGAAGAAGAAGACAAGCGTGAAGAAAAACACCTTAAGCCCTTACTTCAACGAGGTGTTTGTTTTTGAGGTGCCTTTCAGTCAGATCCAGGTGCGTCTCCCTGCAGCACCCAGGGCTGAGTGGGTCCCCGCTATGGTGAGCCCCCTCCCACTGACCGTCTTTCTTGTGTTGCTGTCCCCTCCTCCCCCCAGCATGTGGACGTGGTCATCTCCGTCTGGGATCATGACAAAGTGACCAAGAACGAACCCATCGGCAAACTTTTCCTGGGCTGCCGAGCCACAGGCAACCAGCTGCGGCACTGGTCCGACATGCTCTCCAACCCACGCCGGCCCCTTGCCCAGTGGCACAGCCTGCAGCCCCCAGATGTTGTCGACAAAGCCCTGGGGCTGAAGTCCCACCTCAAGCTGCCCCTGCCCCCCAGATAGTGGAGGGTCTCCTCCTCCACCCACAGAGGGCTTGCAGAGGGGTGAGGGGCTTCTGCTCTAGATGTGTTGGTCCCGGCTCAGTGTCAGCAAAGAGGGGATTGGGGGCTCTTTTTGGCCAAGAGATGATCTGGCTGCTGGTGCAGTTCATGCCCTGTGTAATGCCCAGAGCGGGGCAGCTCAGCACCCCAGGGCAAGGCTGGATGTGGAGCAGAGGATGCTAGAGGGGACAGTGCGGATGCAGGAGCTGGCTCATCCCGGCTTCTTGCGGGCCGGGGGGACAAATACACAGAACTTCAAGCTCATGCAAAAACACCGAGTCCATCGGTATTTTTAAAGTAAAGGATTAATGTGCCAGTAGCCTGGGGTGGATGGTGTCTTTGGTTGTGAATAACTCGGCAAGAAGCGAGTTGTTTGGAAGGCTTTATGTGTCCTGTGAAGGCTTTTAAACAAGACCAAGATCTTGAAGCACCCTAAGAGGCTTGAGAGGAGAGAGGGAGGACAGGCTGAAGAGGAAGGTGTTGGAGATCCAGCTCTTTAGTGCCTCTGTGATAAGTGTGCTCTGTGTCCTGGCTATAGGTTAAATGAGACAGCAAAATCAGCCACTGGTTGTCCACGTGGCTTTGCTCTTAGCCCATTCCCAGCCCGTGCTGACTTGTGCACCCCAAAATGTGACTCAGTTTGCGGGACTCCCCAGTGACCAGCCCCATGGACCATGCAGGTGAGGATGCACAGCGTCAGCTACATCCACCCCGTGTGGTCCTACAGGACTAGCGCAGCAAGGTTTGCACCTCCGGCACCTGGAGATGCTACCAGGTGGAGGGGCCGAGGCTCTGGCTTTCGTGCCATGATCACACTACCCTGATGAAGGCTGGGTTGCAGCCCTTGGGTCACTTGTGGGCAGGCTTCACATAATCTGGGAGGTTTTTGTGGCCACATGTCCTGCCCTGCCCTCTTTCATGGGGCCTTGGGGTAGGGGCTACATAAGTAAAGAACCCTCCCAGAAGGATGAGGGCATCGGAGAGGTGCCACTGTCTGTACCCATCCTGGAGTATGCTGCAGTTTGGGGTGGCTGGAGAACAGCTCCTCTGAGCTATCTATAGGAGGAAGCTCACTGCGTTGGGTTGGAGGAGGGAATCACCCTTGCTCCAAAACGTTCCTGCTACAAAGCAGCCATAGCACACAGAAGATTTGGGCTGTATCACGGAATTTCGGCCCAAAAGACAAAAGTAATTTGCACTGCGGGGAGCTGCGGGCACTACGCTAATAGCTATTGCCTGTGCTCTGGCTGGGGGAGAGCCCGGCACATTAATGAAGAGCCATTAATATTGAAAAGCAGTTAATCTGCAATTACCCAGAGCTTCACGGAGCGACCATCCGAGAGTTAAACAAACACAGTGAAGCTGAGGAAGGTTATGAAAACTCTCGATAGAGATTAATGACCTGAGCTTAACCATAAAAAACTGCTGCCTCTGCTTCTTGATAAATATTCTCCAGGCTTCGTTGTGGCCGTGAGGAGGGAAGAAATGACAGGGTGGTTTTGAGATGGCTGTAGCAAGTGGAGTGTGGCTTCTGCTGGGGAAACAGCATCTGCTGGCCGCCGCTAATGAGATGGAGGAGGAAATCAGTCACCTGAGAAAGACTTGTAAAGGGATGCTTTAAAACCTCAACGTTCGGTCTCAGCTTCAAATCAGGCTGGAACAGGCTGTGCAGAAGGGAACAGCTCTGAATTGGGTTTGGGGTCCCAAATCCATCGCCAGGTTGGGTTTTGGTGATGCTGTGTGCTGATTTAGGGCCATGCAGGACCCAGAAGGGCTTTTGAAGGTATTAGGAACAGGCATTTCTTATTCGTGTGTGTGTGTGTGTGCATGTGCTTTTTCCAGTCCCCTTTTTTGAAGTCAGCCTTGAGGTTCACTGCATAATTTGCAGGGCTGGGCACAAAAGCACATGCATGTTAGTCCCAAAAAGGACACAGTTGAAGAAGGTGCAGGGACATCCCCTCCTTGACAAACATTACCCCCAGTACAAGAGCCCGCTGTTCCTCTCTCCACCTTCAGCCCCACTCAGAGCCGAAATGGCCGGCGGAGTCCCAGGGAGCAGAGCTGGTGAGGGAAGCCCACGGCGATTTTAGGGGGGAAGCTAGGGAACCTGGGAGCGAGTGCGCAGCTGGGCTGGCTCTGGGCAGCCTGGGGTGAGCCTTGGTGCAGGAAAACTCAGCAAACTGAGTTGTTTGCTCAAGAGGGAGAGGCGAGTGGGTGGGGATGATCTCCACCCAGCTCCAGTTTTTAATGCATCAGCGAGGCTGCTTTCTTCCTCCGTCGCTGCTTTTCCTTCTTGATCTGTCTTGTGTTCTTACAACAAGGCTTTGAGCACTCTCCTCCTCTGGTAGGGTCCTCTTAGTATGAAATAGGGCTAGTGGAGCTGGGCTTCGTTCTGTGGCTTATTTCACCCAAAGTGAACGCAGCCTGCTTGGGAGCCTGTTGACGGGAAGGCCGACAGCCCCATCACATGTCCAAGGGTCTCCAAGCCCCGTGGCCTTGGCAAGCCTAGCTGTCCCTCATCCACCAAGGCCAGATGTCGGAGCATCTTCTGCCTGATCAATGCTCCTCGTGTTACTTGGAGGGCCTGGAGCAGGAAGATTCCCAGGTGGAAGATGCGATAAGAAGAGAAGTTAAAGGAGGGGGAAATGAACAACCAACTGCTCCTCAGCTTATGTTGGATTCCCACGTCTGCATCTAGAGGGCAGGGCAGGTACGTGCTCTGAGCTGGGTCTCCATGCTCTGGGCTCTGACCCCTGTTAGAGCCTCACCAGCCAAGATTTCTTCTGCTGGAGATGTACCCTGTGTGTGAGAGGGAGAGAAAGCCATGATGCTGTGGTGCAAGTCTGTTCCCGTCACCGCAGAGCCAGTTGGCAGCCGTGTGGCGATGCTGGAGGTGGCCGGGTGGCTTTTTCCAGGAGCCAGCCCTTGCCTGATCCTGCACCAAAGGGGCAAAGGGGGTTTTGCTGGTGGGTTAAGGGGGGCAAAAGTAGGTATGCAAAGCCAGTCTGCATGGTGCGAGGTGCCCGAGTGGTGGGTGGGGAGTTGGTTCCTCTGCTTCACGCAAGGGACAGTCCCTCTGCATTCAATTAGCAGCTTTGCAGGTCGGTGGCAAGGTGAAAAACAGGGCTTGGGCCAGGCAGAGGTCTGTTAAAGGAGACAAGTACTGAAAACGGAGGTGTTTGCTATAAAGATTTATAATCTACATCCAGAGCCAAGACTTCTGACCTCTGTAAGTCCCTCCCAAAGCAAATTATTCCCTTGTTCAGTGATTTTTATGATATTTGTCCCTGCACTTCAGGAACTCAAACAGGAGAGCGGCACCAGGAGAAGGCTGAGCCTTATACGTGCTTGTCACCAGTCGTCTGCTGTGAAACAAAAATGATTACGGGCTGTCATCGTTCAGCCTGGGTATGGGCTGGCTGTCCTCCAGCCACAGATTTTTTGGCTAGTCTCACAGTTTTTGAGAGCTGGAGAATATCTAAGCTCTTCTCACCAGGAGGAAGCGTGCCCATTTTATAAATGTTCGCTAGCTAGCATCGTTATGTCTTGCAATTTTATGGGCAAAACGTGTATTTTACCATGCATGGGTTTCTTTTTTAAAAGCTCCAGCTCCTGGATCTGTGGAGTCTTATGCAGGTTTGCAGCTTTTTTTTTGTTTTAAAGCACATTTTTATCTTTTGAGGATGCCTCCGGGCTCAAAACCCAGAGGCAAACCAAGAGGATGGTTGCCTTTTGATCGAGGCTCTTGCAAAGGGGTTCCGGCAGCCGCCCGGCCATGCCACGAGCCCAAGCTTTGCTGTGGGAGGCTGATGGTGCGTGATGGTGGAGGGAGGACCCAAGCAAGGGTCACTGGCCGCTGCCAAGGTTTGCATGGCATGGAGGAAAGCTGGTACCCCTTGGCCAGAGCAGAGGAGAGGAAGCGAGGTGGTGTGGGCTGCAGCCACCTTCCTCCTGCCCAGAGCCCCTGTTGTGCCATGCTTGCTTTTGGGGGGCCCAGGGCCACGCTTCCCACCCAAACTACATCTCCCAGGCTGGCCGGCACATTGCTTTGTTGCTGGCTCCCCAGGGAGGGGTCCACGGGGGAGACAAGAGGCAGCCGTCGGCCCCGGCATCCTGCCCTCGCCTACAGTAGAGCACTGCGGCGGCGGGGGGAAACTTTGCTGAAGGGTCCTGTGTGACATGGGGTGGGAGGGATGGCTGCTGTCTGCCAAGTGGCCTCTTGGAAACTCCGATGGGAAAGAGGGGTGCTGGGAGAGCCCCCTTGCTGGGTGCTGGTGGGATAAGGGGTGGAGGGGAGAGGTTGTGCTTGGGTGCTAGGGTCTTTGGGGGGTGCATGGGAGGGAGGGGATGGGGGCTTTGTGCTGAAGGCGGGAGCTGGGGTGGGAGAGGAGGGCAGGTGGGGGGCTGTGGGATGGTGCACTGCTGCCTTTCGGGGTGATTGCTTCCTCCTCTGCCCTGGCCGAGTCTGTTGTGGATGTGACTCAGTTTCTTAGAGAGAGGTAAGGAGCCCTGCCCCTATCCCTACTTCTTTTCCTATTCCCCTTTTCCTACTTTTTTTCCCCCTTTGTCCTGCCCCTTTCCCCTGCCCTGACTGCTGCTGGGGGTCTTGCATCTGGGACTGTTCCTGCCCCAGACTGGGCTTGTTTGGCTTCTGGATCAGTCTGGTGACATGGGGGTGTTTTTAGGACCACTTGACATCCCGGTGCACCTTTCACTGCCATGGGTGGGAAGGGAGGAGGGTTTCCGTCGTGGGGGTAGCAGCCTCCTGCCCCAAACAGCCCAGTCCGAGGAACAGGAGTGATAACCGGTGCATGGAGATGCTCCCTGATGGCTCCTTCCATTTGAACTTTGTGGACAGACCTAAAAAACCTAGACTTCTCATTTCTCCGTATTTCAGGTCTTAGCAGGTTGGAGCCAGGGGCGAAGCAGCACACGGACTGCATAGGTTTCAGGCTGCCAGGCAAAAAATGTCC